GTACGGTTTAGCCTCCTGTACTGTGCTACTTAGTGCTATTTAATGTATTTCCACGCATGGGAGGCAGAGATGGTGAAGGTTCCACAATCAATGTAAAAAAGATGCTGAAACTCTAGAAAGAGTACAGAGAAGAGCAACAAAGATGATTAGAGGACTGGAGGCTAAAACATATAAGGAACGGTTGCTGGAATTGGGTATGTCTAGTTTAACAAAGAGAAGGATAAGGGGGGACATGATAGCAGTCTTCCAATATCTCAGGGGCTGCCCCAAAGAAGAGGGAGTCAAGCTATTTTCCAAGGCGCCTGAAGGCAGGACAAGAAGCAACAGATGGAAACTAACCAAGGAGAGAAGCAACCTAGAACTAAGGAGAAACTTCCTGACAGTGAGAACAATTAACCAGTGGAACAACCTGCCTCCAGAAGCGGTGAATGCTCCAACACTGGAAGTTTTTAAGAAGAGACTGGACACCCATTTGTCTGAAATGGTATAGGGTTTCCTGCCTGAGCAGGGGCTTGGACTAGATGACCTCCAAGGTCCCTTCCAACTTTATTATTATTATTATTATTATTATTATTATTATTATTATTATTATTATTATTATTATTATTATTATTATTATTATTATTATTATTATTATTATGAGTTACAACAAGAACGACACCCCTCTCTTCATTGATACCGCACAGTGTATCGCAAATACTTTGAGCAGCTCTGAGTAGGAAGAGATGCTTCTTCAGATACTTCGCTCAAATGTTTGTTGAGCCTTGAACACCTGTAGTAAAATTAAGCCCACAACCAGGGTTGTCCTTAAGCAGAAAGCTTGGAAGTAGGAAAGAGACATCGTCAAAGCATGTATGTAATTTCTGTCTTAAATGCTTCCTCGTTCCAGTCTTAAAACCTGAAATGGCAGAGAATGACAGAAAGAGTCTTCTGACTCTTTAAAGCAGCCCATCTTACCTTCAACCAGCAGGATTGTGCCAATGACGAAGACTTCAGTTTCGGTGAAACCATCAGGAATAGGATATGCCGAGTTAACCATCTTTGCAATGAAAAAGGCAAAAGCCCCCAGCCTCCACCAATGTCTGGATTTTCCAGCTGTTCCAGCTATCTGCCCTGGTCAATTCTTTGTCCTGAATTTTCTTCCTTCTGCCCAGTCACCTACAAATCTCACCTTCTTAAAGGGCCTGGCCACGTGGAAATCCTTACGGAAAAGCTTTGGGTATTAATCCTAACCGAGCAATCCCTGCAAAATTCTTCCTCACATCCCTCCCATGCCTGGAACTGCATAAAAGCAAAAGGGAATATTCCGTGCAATCGCACGAAGCCTTTTGTAGAGACAGCTTTTAAAAATGGACCCTGCTAATTCTAGAAAAAAAAAGAACTAAAGAATACAGGAGTGGCAGCCAAAGCAAATACTATGTAATTAGGGAGACACCGGAAATAAACAGACATGATTAAATCACTAATCTGGGGAACAAAGGAGAAAAAGGAATGGGGGTGGAGACATTCCTAATGTGAAACAAAGCAAAAATATGCTTTGGAGTCTTTGATACTCTCTGAGCTTGGTTGGTTGCTTGGAGAACTTTCATTACCCAACTAGGTAACATCATCAGTACTTGTTGCATGTGGAATATGATCCTTGTTTATATACAGTAGCTTGACCTAGTGTTGGTAGGGGTGTTGTTTTCTTCTTAACAGAATAGCAGAGTTGAAAGGAACCTTGGAGGTCTTCTAATCCAACCATCTACTCAAGCAGAAGACTATTACATTCTGGACAAATGGCTGTCCAGTCTCTTCTTAAAAACTTCCAGTGTTGGAGCATCCACAACTTCTGGAGGCAAGTCGTTCCACTGATTAATTGTTCTGTCAGGAAGTTTCTCCTTAGTTCTAGGTTGCTTCTCTCCTTGGTTAGTTTCCATCCATTACTTCTTGTCCTGCCTCCAGGTTGACCCTCGCTTCCTGTTGGCAGCCCCTCAAATACTGGAATACTGCTATCATGTCCTTCTTCTAATTAAACTAGACATACCCAATTCCTGCAACCGTTCTTCATATGTTTTAGATCTTCTTTGTTGCTCTTCTCTGTGCTCTTTCCAGAGTCTCAACATTGTTTTTTTTTTTATATCATGGCAACCAAGACTGGATGCAGTGTTCCAAGTGTGGGATGATAAAGTTGGTTTAACACTTCAAGTGGTCTTGATTCTATCCCTGTGTTAATGCAGTCTTTACTATAACGTTGTCTATTTTGTGGCCCCACCAGTTCTATTATTATAAGGTTTGGTTGCATGATCAGCCAGGTGTTTAGACTGGATTTAGCAGCATTTTTGTCTACCTATCGAGTCTTCCCCAAAGATCTGGGATAGGCAGATGTGGTTGTTTGATGGTGTTATAAAGGCTTTGTCGCAGGATCTAAGCTATTCCAAGTTATTATTATTATCATTCTTCTTTCTCCTCAAGGAAGACTGCCTGGCAGAGACTAGAAGAATAAAATAAAATAAAATAA